ACAAATTTTCAAACTTTCAAAGGAAGTTTCTTTGTTTTGCATTATTTCCCTTTGAGGATTAACCGCAAAATTAAGCAAATTTCCTTCCCAGACACCCCATTGCTTTGGCTAATTTTACGCAGAGGGAAGTTCTGATGGAACAGGAAAACAAATAACTCTTGCAGAACAATATATCATGTGTTGTCTGTTTTATGTTTTCATTACTTGAAGACCAATTTACATTGACAGAATGGTTTTGCTGAGGAAATTGACCTGACCAGATTGAAATGTGTTGTAGTTGAAAATTAGCCCCAGTCCAAAATGTTTTTTAAACCACAAATTAATACATAAATGGGGCCAGCGAGTAATCTGTTTTATTTTAAGTTGTTGATGTAGAGGAAACATCTGAAGTTTTTAATGCCACTTGTGTATGTATATTAGCGGCATATTTGAATTTTTTAAACTTCATTTTTAAAATTCTTTTCTTTCAGACGGAGATTGCGAAGAGGTTAAATGCGATCTGTGCCCAGATTATTCCTTTCCTTTCTCAAGATGTGAGTACTGATATCAGATACCATATCACCAATATGCATAATCACTGTACAAAAATGAAAAAAAAATGGTATTTCAATTTCATGTGCTCATCTTGTTAATTTTGACAGTGACATACTAAAAGGACTGACTGACCAGTGAATAACCACTTATAATCATCTATTGTTATTAATTGTCAGTCCTGGTGGCACATGTAAGGAACCAAGGCATAACTTTATTACTCAATCAGATAATTTCTAGGGCTGTGATCTTTCATTCCTTTGTCTTGAATATTCAGCTCTCATAGCTTTGGCTCTACTGTCTGGTTTGTGCAAACAAGTGACCTCTTTCAGAGTTGATGTAAAGGGTTTTCAAGACCATTTTAGTATGATTTTCAGTTTTCTTATGAAAGGAACCAGATAGTTGTAAAATTATGTTTACTCTATAGTTTTCTTTTTCTAATCTATAAAGATATGTTCGAATCCTTTTGTCAAACTAGTGATGGTCTATTTGCAACTTTGAAGTTTCAGTTTGGATATGGTTCAACATAAAATTGGTACTAGTGTAGAGTGGGTAGAATCTAGTGGTGTGCCAATCATCGATTATAATTGTAAATTGATCAAAAACTAATTGACACAACAATTGATTGTGTAGTTCCAGAAGATATCAATAACTCCCCCTCTCCCCAAAGGGGTTTTTATAAGACCACCCAACCCCTCTGGAAATTCCAATTAAGCTTCACACATTTCTTTAAATGTTTTGGTCCTACAGAGCCCCCTACCCCAAGGAAATTCCAATCTGTTCTGTAAGGGGAGTATGGATATTTTCTGGAACTGTAGATTTTGCTTGAAGCATATTATCGTGGAAAATGGAAAATATATTACTGACCACTCAAACATTAAAATGTATGTGTTTTTCCTTATTTCTAAACCAGTGTTATAGAAGATATGGTCATATAAACTCTTGGTCTTCACCTTGATAAGAAATATAACACAAACAGTGGTGATAAACATTTTAAAAACAAGCATTGTCAAGCTCATGAAATGCATGTTTTTGAGATAACGTGATGCTTCAGAAAAAATCTCTACCTCTCCCACAAAAGTGTTTTTGTTAAACCTTCCTTCCCCTGGAAATTCCAGTTTAGTTTCATACATTCTCGTAAGAAGTTTAGTTTTTGAAACCCTCTCCCCTTCAGAACCTCCAGTAGTTTTCCTTAGGTTGGCTGTGGATATTTTCTGCTTCTGCGCAATGTAATAAGCAAGAATGAACGCCCTAGACAGTGATTAAGACTTAAATCAGATTAGCAAAAAATGTGATTAAGGTATCATTTGAATATTTTCTTTTCAGATGTTTTTATACATATTTGTTTTCAGTACTTTGTTGATCTTGTTTAGTACTAAGCATCTTTTTGTGTGAATCTATTTAAAGCATCAACAACAAGTTGCCGCCGCTGTGGAGAGAGCTAAACAAGTGACGATGACAGAACTGAATGCTATTATTGGAGTAAGAATTTGATCTTGATCCTGTACTTCAAATGATTGAGTTGTAATAATCCTGTTAATAGCAACTTTCATCTACAAAGAGATGCTATAGTCTAATTTGGGATTCGGCATTGTCCGTGTCTGAGTTTGGACTTGGCAAGCCATAGACACAAAACTCAAACACTTTATGAAATCCCCTTACAAGTAATACCCCCAATGTAAAATTCTTCTGTGACTAATACTGGACTATGTAAAATCCCCTGGTTAATAATATCTTCCAATTAAACATCCCCTACGTGAAGTTATTTACTAAGAATTACTTCACTTTATCATGTGGGTGCCATGTGTTTTTTTACTGTGTTGCAAGGTTCTCGGAAATATTTAAAGCTTCTTTCCAAATCTTCCTTGTAGGAATCACAAATGTCTATGTGTCATTGGTTTTAAACTGTTTGTTCATGTACATCACATTTGTTCGTGAATTTTTCTGTCCCAAGTTACCACTGTTTCTCATGCTTGTTTCAACTCTATATCACTTTCTAGTTGATGATTTTCTTAATTCTCAACACCTGTCAATTTGAGAATATGTTTTTATTGTTAAGAGAAATGAGAGTTAGATCAATTTGGGGGAATTGGTAGAGTCAAGCACCCTGAGCACGGTTCATGCCAAGTTGAAATCTTAATATGTACTGGTGGTGTGCCAATTTGTTTTCTTTGTTTTCTTCCTTACATTGGAATGCAAAGTTTTGTCATCTGGATTACCTTGTTTAGTAGATTTGTTGTAAGTTTATTAAGAGTGCAGGGACAGACATGACTTGACCTAACTCAATAGCCACTGAGCAAGTTTACAAATCTATTAGCTCACAGTGAGACCACTGATGAACCGATCAAAGTAAGGATAGACACCTTTTAGCCAGAATGAGAGAAAACATCACCAAAGCAGGGATGTAACCCTTTGCCTGAATCAATAGCCCCTTTGTTAGAGCTAGTATACATTTGCCACACAACCTTATTAAAATGAGATAAAGGTGTTTTTGTGCTGATCAACTAAACCCCGAATTTGGCGGCCCTGATTTCAAGTTTACTAGCCTTGGGCAGTTGGACAAGTAAAGTATCAGAACCCCTGCATGCATTGTAATTTGATTATTGAATGCAGACCCCATAAAGCTTTAGTTACGTATGGTTTGACTAGCTATAAACATTTATTTTTCCTAGGTTAAGTTACTTATGAAAATCAGGTGGTCGTGATGGTTAAAGCAAATGTGTCACTGACCTTGTACATACAGATCAAAATAGCCCACCGGTGTTGACAGAACCTCAGGAATGTGCACCCAGCTTAGCTCTTAACTAGAGATTAAATACCAATACATTCCTTGAATAATATGATCATTGATAAGAAGTCATTAGAACCCAGGTTCAACTTAAGGAGATGATGAATTTACAGAAAACCTTTTAAGCTGATGAGTGGTTGAAGCATTGCTTGGCGTAGGTTTTTCTGCCCTCTTTTTACTGCTTGAAAGGGGATCTTCAACCATGGGGAGACTGTTCGTGTGGGGAAGCAGAAAATAACTAGTCTGGCTAGGAAGGTCATGAAAAAGTGATAGCAGTTACTTGACTTGTCTTATCCTGCTCAAAAATATGTTCTTTTTGTTGACATCTGTTGATAGCACTAATGGATTCAATGCATGGTCCTAATCTTTAGGCTTGATTCCCTCTTGTTATCATAATAATCTTTTATAAATAACCACTCTCAGCTAAATTTCATCTCAGTCTGGATCTTGACAGGAAAAAGGGACTTGTCTTAATAACACCATTGTCAGTGATATCCTCACCAGTGCTGCTGTTGAGTTGTTGGCACATGTATGTTTAAAACTTGCTCTTATCAGACCATACAACAATGAAAGAGCTTGAGTTCTGACTTACTATCTTGCATTGACTTTGAAAATTTAGTGTTACATTTTGGATATTAATGGAGTAATATCACAGACAGGACTGTTAACTTACATGTACATACATGTTTGCGTCACCTTCAGGAGTATTTTCAGCTCTTAAAAATGGAGAGTTTTTCAATAGTCTGTAGATAGGACTGGCAAATTTAATAACAGTCAAGGAGAAGTTTGTACTCACCCTTACATTATCAAAGTGCAGTTTTTTATATGTGATTTATGCCTTGGCATGTAATATGACCAATTAAATAGATTGTAGGTGACTGTTAGGTCTGTGTTGTGTAATTCCAAGGTCACACATGTGTTTCTAACCAGTGTGGGGGTTATAAAAACGGAATTATTGAAAATATGCTGCCCATGTTTGTGTTTGCTCTAAGATAATTTAAGTGTTTTGATTTGTGGTGTTCCATCCAAAAATGTAAGGTTGATTATGCACATGAAAAGATGCCGCCTTGTTTTCATTTGTTCAAGGGTTGTTTAGACCAACTTTGCACTGGTTACCTTGAAACTTGAGTGTCATATTTGTCTTCTGTGCAAAGGTTTAGGGTTCCTACAAACACGCACCTTAAAGGTCCTTGAAATAAAATAAAAAAATTAATAAAATAGAATAAAATAAATTCAAAACCTTGAAGTCCTTGAAAGTCAGATTGCAAATATGCATTATTTAATCAATTTTGGCTGGTGTTAGGTTCTGCAAGTCAGAAATTTGTGAGTACCCTCAAATGTTTGTATTATTGATAGACAGCCGCTTTCTCTTCAAACAGCAACAACAACTTCACCAGGGAGGCCTTCAAGGTCTACATGCCCACCCACCCACAATTCCACTGCCACACCCTGGTGCAACACCCCCTCAGCTTCCACCGGGAGCAGCGTCAGGACTACTTGCCTTATCCAACCTGTCAGTTCAACCTCCACATCTACCTATGATGAAACCAGAGGACAAAGGTATGTGTACCATGGGTGTGTCTTCACTTGACCTGGACGCCTTTACTTGTTAAAACCTTTTCTGAAGGTCATATGCAATATTAATTGTAAGCTCTAGAATTTTAGTAACACCGAGTCGATATAATTGAAATATATATTATAAATAATATACATATACCTTACCTATTGATTTCATTTTATAACTTCCTTAATTAATTTTTGCTGACATTTCTTTTTCTTTTTTCATGTGCTGCTTTGCCCTCTAGATGGCATGGTGAGTGTACTATTAAAGAAGCGTTCTAAAATGTTTCTTTCAGGGAAAAAAATCTCAGCTCTCATCTGATCAGTTGTGGTATTGTTTTCAATTCTTTTGTCTGAGATTCTACAATGCACAAAGCTTGATAAGCTTCTGCCAGTCACCACTTAGTGACAAGAGTTTTTAATCATATTTTCAGGTAAAATATTGAAAAGCTGTTGGACTAAGCTTAACTTTCAATGACATTGTTTTTGTTTTACCCTATCCACTAATAACATGTCATCTTTCTAGAACTCTCTGTCACCACTTGGACCAATGTCCCGATCAGAAAAATATCGAGCATCCGACTTGTCGTCTCATGGCAGTGACGATGGGCACGTGGACAGGGAAAGAGACAGAGACAGAGAACGGGACCGAGAGCGGGAACGTGATAGAGATAGGGAGAGGGAAAACAGAGACAGGGAACGTGATAGAGAGAGGGAAAGAGATCGTGACCGAGACCGGGAAAGAGAGAGACACGTAAATGGTGAGTAGTAGTTAGTGGACGCCAGCATTTAAAGTTAAGAGTCACGATCACATTGAAATTCTGTTTTCTTTATGTGATGAGTTACTCTAAATTTTAGTTAAATTCTTTTCTTATTCTTTGATTTCATGGTCTCCCAGGAACAAAGAGCAACAGCAAACGGAAGAGAGATGACAAAGACTCAGGGGTGAGAAGACACTTTGAATGTTTGTACGACATTTTGGTCATTCAGTTTCTGAGTATTAAAAAAAATAATAATTAAATTGTATGTCAACTGTTGGCTCTGTTGTTAGGAAAGTGACGCAGAAAAAAGTGATGGTGACTTAGTGGTGGATGTCTCAAATGAGGTAAGATATGTCTACCTTTTGTAAGATTATATTACAACATCTAGGTTATAAGTCCTTGGACCAAAATATAGCAGAGACCATTATTTACAGCAGCAACTGAAAATTGTTCTAGTTTGATTTATTTTGGATTAGCTGTCTACAACTTTGAACAGCAAGGTCTTGCATTTCTAACCCTAACCCTAAAGGCAGCAGTGGTCTGTAGACATAAAATTGATTGTGAATACTGAAGAGTACTTTGGTTGTTTTGTAGGACGCCAATTCACCCAGAGTTGAGAATGGACCAGACTCACCCCCGCTAAATGAAAAGAAAGTAAGAAAAGATTCTGGTTCTCCCACTAACCCATCATCGTCTTCATCCACACCCTCATCCAAACATCCAAAGGTAATTGTTGCACAAGCTTTGTTATCCTAGCTCTTCAGTTCTTGATTTTTGTAATGTTAACTATTACTTTATGTGTTGCATGCATAAAGAATATGGTGATGTTGTCCAGGAATTTTCCATGCCTCTCATTTGGAAGATCTTTGGCGGGTTTGTTGCCTTCCTCTGGAAATTCCAAATTTTCTGTGACCCATCTTTGGGTTGTTCCACATCCACTTTATAGATATTTCCAAAAAACAATATATTGAGTGTTTACTTGTCTAAGAGGCAACAGTTTTCAAAGAGGGCAACAATTTCCCAAATATTTGATGATGTAGCTCAAACAAGCCAGCTAATTTAGTTCAGAGTTTATTCACTTTTGTCATGAATAGGTTTTCCAGTGCATTGAAATGTTTGTTTTGACTTTTTTCTTGCAGTCAGAAAACAAAGCTGCACTTGCATCATCAGAAACCAGTTCTTCAGGGAGAAAAAGTCCGTCAAGATCATCACCGTCTGTCAAAACACCTGTAGGTGAGTATTATTATTGCAAGTAAGAAGTACAAGGTTTCTTAGCAAAGAACTTGGAAGTTCTGTGGAGCAATTTGTTGCCTGGGTGCTCTAGGTGGTAATACACCTTGATCCAGCAAAAATATCAGTATACATGTGAGTATCTAGGTGTTCTCCCTTCCCTCCTCCCCCCCTTCCCTGGCCTGACAATGTGATAGACCAGCCTTTCCACTTCTCAACTGCAAAGTGAATCCTAAGCAAATTTCTCATGTAAACAGGATTCAAGTCTTGTGAAGTGTGTCGTGTCATGATATATTTTTTCCCTTGGAAGAAACTCCTTCCTTATAAAACATAGTCTGTTTGGAATTAAAATAGAAACTAATCCAATACAGGGCCTTACCCCTTTGTAGTGGATGTGTGTGATTACCAAGATTTCTAAGCCTTTTTGTAACATGTTTTAATGTCTTAATTTCAGCTGCACCTGCTGTTAGGACAGCCATGTCTGTACCAGGAGGACCTTATCCATTTGTTAACCCTCATAATATCGCCAGGTATGTGTTGAGCCCATGAAGGAAGCTTGAAGGCTAGAAAGAAAAATTTGTAAAGCATAGCCTTGGGTTTTAACAGTGTTTAGGCCAGAGCACACCATTG